GGGGGGACCCCTCCGGACCCCCGCACAGCCAAGAGCAACAGCTCACCTCCGCACAGGATGATGGCAGCCACGAACAGAGACAGGTCACTGTCATCCAGCTCCAGCGCGTTGAACTTCACAGCAAACTCAAATTTGGGCTCCATGATCTCGTTGAAGGGCTTGCGCAGGCTACGCAGGAACTCGCGGGTCACGAAACCGTTCCCGTTGGCCACCAACAGCCCATCTTTGTTCATGATGGAGGCCAGCATAGTGAAGATGGCCTCGTGCACCCCGTACTTGAGCAGAGTCACTTGGTCGTTCAAGTAGAGGCCAATGAAGCTGGGGATGCTCTTGGCGAACTCGGTGAGCTCCCGCACGGTCTCCACCGTGGTGCACTGGCAGGGGGAGCAGACGTGCCCCCCCAACTCCTTTTACCGGACCTCCTCCCCCACCAGCCCCTTCTCTCCCTGCCACAAGGTGTCGATGTCATGGATCACAAAAGGCTGCTTGAAAAAGAAACCAGCAGTTAGGAACCCTCCACGAGGACTCGAGATGCCAGCTCTGCCAAGGACGCTCGTGTTTGTCTGCCTGTCCCTTTGCTCTTCTCGTCCCCACGGGGCTGACAGTGTCTGCCCCCACCCATAACCGCACCAGTCTGCAGGAATTTTCCCAGTAAGGCACAGGACGTGTAGAGCCCACCCCGCTGCAGCTGGGAACTGGCGGATGTGGAACAGCAACAGCACGAGGGGGGTCAGCACCTCCCAGAGAACAGCCCCCCGACATTGGTCATGGCCAACCCCCACCCGGAGGGAACTTACTGGGGTGCCGCTGGCCTTCCCGGTCAAGATACCTCTCGCCTTCTTTTTGGTCATGTTGAAATTCTTCAGGTAGGCGTTGTAAATGTGCTTGGAGAAAGCTTTCAGGTCGGCCACCTGCGGGTTCTGGCAGCTGATCTCACTCGCCGTCAGCCCCGCCACCAGCTTCCTCTTCTCTGCCTCCGGCATGCGGCCAAAGCGGATTGCTGGGGGGGCAAAAGTGGTGGGTCAGGACACTGGGAATGACCGCTGGAGATGCAAGGTGATACTCCTCCAGCACTGCAGCTCCTTCAGCATCGTCACCTCCAGGAACCAGCCATTTCTGCCCCCCCCGACCAGCACAACCCCACGCCAAGCTCCCGTCCCCGTTCCTCTGGGCTCTCGCACGAGCCCTAATTCCCCCAAGAACACCTTGGCTTGGCCAGGAGCAAGCTGAAGTTTAAAAATCCCAGCACAGAAGAGCAATCTGTGTGTCCAGTTCCCACCAGGTCAACCCGTAAGGGACAGCCCTGTGCCACCAGCCAGCCTGCACAGTGGGAGCGAACAGCCCCGTCTTGTGCGAAAGAAAAGGATGAAGAGTCAAAGAGCCAAAGCTTTGGGTTTGAAAGCGGATCCCCTTGCAAGAAGAGAGCCACGAGACAAAGCGAACCCTCTACAGCCAGGCAGATGTCCCCATGGCACCACGGCCAGGCCTGCAGAGAGCGGTGACACTCACCGTTATGTGACATGCCCAGCGAGAGGCATTTCTGGAAGCGGCAGTACTGACACTTGTTCCGATTCTTTTTCTGAATCTTGCAGCTCCGCTCACACTTCTCGTACTCCAGCTTCATGCGGATCGTCCGGCGGAAGAAACCCTGTGGGCAGGGGGCACAGAGGGGGACAGGGAGCAGGGGGACAAGGGAACAGCAGCGTTAGCACCTGTGTTTGGGGACGAGGAGGGTTTATTATCCCCAGGAGCCTCACGGAGGTTCAGCCGGGTGCGGAGGAGGAGCCCTGGGTTTTTCCTCGGTCCAAGGAGAGGTTGAGGGGTGGGAGAAGGGGGCTGCAGGGGAGGATCCGGAGGGCAGCCTACGGTCCGGTGCTGGTACCGAGTGTGTGATTCTGGCAGCAGCCAGCAGGGAGGGATGGAGGAACAAGCTGCGGCCAGCCCCAGCCTGCAGGAATGTCTGGCAGGACCTGGGCCACTATCCCGGCCCTGCTGGCATCTGCTGGGGGGGGAAAGAATTTCACAGACACATCCAAGCTGCAGCCAGTGATCCCAGGGGGATAAATACACAGCTCGCTGCTGATGTGCAGCACAGAAAGCATCTTTAAAAGCAAAGCCAGGGTCCCTGTGGGGATAGATGGATTTCCCTTAAAAAGTAAATCATAACAGGGCAAGATTTGGGCGGTACGCACCTCAGCTGCCTCCCCCAGGACAGTATTTGTGTGCCTGCCTCTATACCTCACGCTCTCTAGACAGGTTGCAAATGATTTATTTTTTTTTACAATCACTCAATCCTGCATCCCTGCTTTGCTGCAAACCTGCTTGTCTGAAGAGCTGGCGTGATCCCTGGGATCTAATCGCTGCTTGGTGCTGCTGAACACAGCCCTCCCCGGGGCGTACGTACCTTGCAGCCCTCGCAGGCGTGCACACCGTAGTGAAACCCCGAGGCTTTGTCTCCGCAGACCCTGCACTCCACGTTCAGTGCTCCCAAAGCCGCGTCCTCGCAGCCCGTCTGCAGTTGGTCCGACAAGGAAGGAGAGGAGCTCTGCGAAAGGTCTGCAAACACAAAGGACATGTCCTTTCATGTCACAGCCACGAGCCCAGCGTTGTGTCTAACTCCTCCAGCCATGGGGCTGACGAGGGATTTCCAGCACTGTCCCAGCCGGTCACTGGTATTGCATCTGGGCAGCGAACCTCTGAGCTCAGGCGCTGATGCCATGCACAGAGCCAAGAGTGACCCCAGCGTGCCCAGCAGCTGAGAGACTCCCCACCAACGCTGATTTCTTCCCCCTGGCATTGATGTCTAGTCAATGAAACCCAACCAGTAGATTTTCTAATCCCCAGTTGGCAGGCGGCTGGCACAGCGCTGCCCAGCTGGAACGCCCGGGGCTCTGGAGAAGGCTCTTTAGCAGCAACAAACCTTCCCCCCCAGCTCCTACAATCAGTCTGCACCGAGGACTTCAAGACATGGCCAGGGAAGTGTTCTCAGGCATCCTGGGAGTTCTCCCCATATGGGGTACATCGTTACCTGCATCTCCTTTTAATTCCCATCTCCCAACCCCAGCGGTGACTGCAGAGGAAGAAATAACCCTCTCCATAGCCTGGCTCTCAGTCCGTTATTTCACAAAAGGAAGAGATTAAACCAAACCAAACTCCGCTCACAGGCAGGTCCTCTGCCCTTGGAGCTGAGCGCACTGCCCTGGATGCTCCCGTGGCTCCACTCACCTGTGTAGCTGCTCGAAGGCAGCGAGCTGTCTGGTCCTCCAGTTGGGTCCGAGGCTCCGCTTGCCACCATCACTGCCTCTTCCTCTTCCTCCTCCTCCTCCTTGACCTCAGGTACTTCCTCCTGTAGTTGTTCCATAATTGATCACCGCTCAGTGCCAGGACTGCAACCCCTGTCATAGCTCTGGCATCATCCGCGTCTATCCGAGATGGACCCTACCAGGCTGTTCCTGCTAGCCTGCGGGACAGAGGGAGAAACGCGCGGGGTCAGCGCCCAACACCCGCGCGGCAGCAGGGCGGTGGGTAACCACGCCGGTCCTCCTCTGCCTTCTCTCCTTATCCAGGCAGACAAGCGGAACCTGGGCCCTTCTAAACGTCACTAAACGACACTCTGTAGGACTTAAGGAAGCAGAACCTTGCTGAGATTGTATTTAAAGCCCAGCAGATGGAACCCAGATCACAAACCAGCCCAGACACCACCCAGGAACCTGGAGTCATAGAATCATAGAATGGTTTGGGTGGGAAGGGAGCTTAAAGCCCATCCAGTGCCACCCCCTGCCATGGGCAGGGACACCTCCCACTAGCCCAGGTTGCCCAAAGCCTCATCCAGCCTGGCCTTGAACCCCTCCAGGGATGGGGCATCCACAGCTTCTCTGGGCAACCTGGGCCACTGCCTCACCACCCTAACAGGAAAACATTTCTTCCTCACATCTCATCTCCATCTCCCCTCTTGCAGTTTAAATCCACTACCCTCATCCTGTCGCTACATGCTTGGGGTCCCAAGCTTTAATGCCCCATAGCAGAGACATGGCCCCAGACAACGTCCCCCAGAACTGCCACCGCCCTGGGATGTCACGACAGTAGCCAAGGCTGGGGTTTGACAGAGCCAACACTACCAGAAAGAGTAAGATAGCACCAGCTTCACCCTCATCCCCGCCCAGCCCAGGGAGAGCTCAGGGACGGGGCAGCAACCGATCAGTGGCTCGGTGCCCGTGGGTGGGAGATGCCGGGGGAGCTGGGCTCGGCGCAGCAGCAGGCGGTGGCCGAAAGCCCCTGGCCCGTGCGATCCATCTGCAAGACTGATGGCTTCCTGCCACCCCCGCACTCACGCTCCTTCCCATTACAGCGCTGCCAGTTCCAGCGTTTGTGTTTATTTTCACTCCTCGTGTTGTAACCGGCCCTGGCTCCTCTGCCAAGAGCCGCGGGGTTGAAAGCGTCGCTGTTGCTCGGCGCAGCTGCCGGGCTGTGCTCGGCCCCGGGGTCCGGCAGCACGATGGCGACGGCCGCACAATCCCACCAGTGTCTGGATCCTGGGCTTCCTGTGGGAGGAACGGCCCCGTCCTCGCCTCGTGTGCTTCCGCTCCTTGTTTGCCTTCATCTATCCCAAACAGCTCACCAAACGCTGATGCCAGGCAAGCGATGCATCGCCGGTACCGGGACCGTTGCAGAGCTGTTCTCGCCTCCCTCCGAACCACGCCGGATCTTGTCTAAGTGTTTGCAACATCCCAGCGCTCATGTACCTCCAGATCTTGATTCCTGAACTGCCTTTTGCTTGAGTCATCAATACCTCAAGCCCCGTTTACGTAGAGTTGCATCTCCTTCCTTAAAGGAGCTATTTTTAAACGGAGAAATATCCACCAGGAGAGCCACTGAAACCCAGCTTCCAGCCTCAATTTCCAGGCAGAAGTTAAACTGACAAAGCCTCTTCCATCCCACATTAGAGGGAAGTGAGCAGGCTGCTCACAGGGGACTCACACCAGGGTGTCCCCAAGCACCAGGATGGTCTGTGCCCCCTGCCCAAGCCCCAAGAACGGGGCTTGCTGGGGAGGGCAGCAGTGACCCAGGACTCCCTGGGCTCATTTTCCCTCCCACGCACTTCAAACCTGAGCTGCAGCCAGCTCCCTGGATTCGCTAGAAAGCTGGAAGTGCTGAGCAAGGTCAAAGCTCCCTGCAAGACCAAGCAAGCAGCTGAGGGAGAGGACAAAACCTGCAAGCGGGAGGTTTAATGCAAAGACGGCGCAAATGCAAACGCGCTGCAAAGCCAGGACCCCAGGGGCTGCACCAGAGCCTGGGTCTCCCACGGGCGAGGGGGCTTTGCTTTCCCCTCCACGCGGGGAATTCAGACCACAGGACTTTGTTTCAAGGAGAGGTACGTTCGAGGCAATGAGCAAGCACGGCCGCCCCGCTTTCCTTTGCAGCAGGAGCAGGCGGAGGGGTGCTGGGCAGGGCAGAGCTCCCGTCCCGCGCCTCCGCCGGAGCACTGAGGGACCATTCAGGGGCCGTGTTATCCTTGGCCTCCGCTCCCCCATCCCACGCGCTGGGACATGGCACACGGGCAGGAAAACCCATTCAGCGGAGATGGAGGGTAACAAGCGCAGTCGTTTTGCAGGCTATATATAAATGGATGGACAAACATCAGGAAAATTGCCTGGAACTGCAGTTAGCGGGGGAAGCTTGTGGCACGAGAAACTAGTCTACGGTGGAAAATACATCCAACAGCAATTTAATGAGCTTCTCATTAGCTCTCCTTTGTCTCTGGCATTCAGCACGGGCCGCTTGCTTCAAACCCAGCGCAGACACAGCCTTTCGCTTCGCCCCAGCAGCCTCACGGCGCGTCGCTGTCGGAATAAGGTGGCTGCATCCCTCCAGCAGCATCCCTCTGTCCTCCATCCTCCGGGTCTGCTCAGGGCCCTGTGCTCCTGGGGTGGCAGCGAGCTCGTGGCGCTCAGCGTGTTCCCCAAAAACCCATCAAAACAACCCCAAAACCGTGCTCAGCGTCAGGCTGGCTGGGAAGGGGGAAAGCGGAGGGCGAGATGTGCGCAGACAGCAACGCCAGGCTCCAGCGAAGGCTCCCAGGAGGATGCAGACATGAGGGTAAGGATAAGGATTTGGATCCCATTCTCCGAGAGCAGCTGGAGAGCCAGAGAGAGAAAAAGCTTTTACCAGAAAGCTCTGAATGTATTGTTTGCATATCTCCTTGCAGGCCAAGAGCACAGGGGCCTGGGCAGAGGGAAGCTGCGAGGGCTGTTTGCACACCTGCCTTTCCCTTCGCCCTTCCCGTTTTCCAAACAGCAGAGAGAGGGAGAGGAGGGGGAAAAGGGATTGGTTTCGTATGGGAGGCTGCACCCCCTGCTTTCAGCAGATGAAAGGCCACGGCAGCCGCTGTCGGATGAAAGGCAGGGCAGGGGTATTGCCTGCCCACCCCAGAGGGACCCCCCAGAGAAACGCAGACCCCCAGCCCTCGGGGCCAGGGGCAGCAGCCTGGCAGCCAAACCCAACCGCACGCAGATGTGCCAAGGTCTCAGACACGCTCCTCTGCTCCTGTGTGAGCCCCACGGTTCAGAGCGGGGCATCCCGGGAAGATGGAGCTCCCCAGAGGTTTGTCCAAACTCCCCAGAGGTTGCTTTGGCCATGGGCAGGGTTGTCACAGCCCTGCATCTTCGTGAGATGGCACTGGGATGGCAGAGGGTGGCCAAAGGACCTTTCTCAGCCCCAGTGCCTCCACATCCCGCTGCGGAGCAGGCAGAGAGGAGGGATAACTCTGTCTCCTCCCCTTGGCTGAAAAGACAGTGGCCAGAGCACAGCTTGGAGCGGCAGGGAGAGGGGCAGATTCCTGCCTGGCGCAGCCACCCCCTTTTTCCGTTCGACAGCTGTCACAGCGCAGCGATGGAAAGAGAGAATGGAAACAAGGATGGGGACCATGAATTCCTCCCTTAGCTTCTCCAGCAAAGCCGTTTCCCTTCCTCTTCCCACAGGATGGGATTGACCAAGAGGCCAAGCACCTCGGGACTTGCTCTGCCCTTGCTGCAATCCCTGTTCCAAGGAGTTTTGGCAATCCTGGCCAGGACCCTGGTTCTTCTCCGAGAGCCTGCAGCCGGCGGAGGGTGGGTTTGTTCGCTGGCTCCTGGCTTGGGCAGATGCCTGCTGGCTGCTCCGCAACAGGTTTATCCTTCCTAGAAGCAGGAGCTGGCATCCATGCCAAGCTAAACTGTACCCTGGGAATGGAGGGAAGAGCCATGGCACAAGAAGAGGAAAAAAAAACAGGAACAAAAGATAAAAGGAGACAAATCTTCAGTGTGGACCCCCTGGAAGAAGGTTGGACAAGGCTTTGGGCAACCTGGCTTAGTGGGAGGGGTCCCTGCCCATGGCAGGGGGTGGCACTGGGTGGGCTTTAAGGTCACTTCCAACACAAACCATCCTGGGATTCTATGAAGTTTAGTACTTCTCCGGGGCTGACCACGATCCAAGCCTCAGTTCATCAACCTGCAGCTTGCACCCCTTTGGCCCGAGAGCTCCTCACCGCTGATGAGCGTGTCAGCCTTGGAGCCCAGCTCAGAGAAGCAGAAGCTGACAAACCGCCGGGGCAGTGCCCGTTTCCCCGCAGTCTGTGCGCAGGAGGGTGGTGGGGTGATGTGATGGAGAAGCCCAGTTTCTCACCAGTGTTGGAGTCCCACACGCAGAGCAAAGTGTCACAAGAAGGGGACGTGGGGACGTGCGTTTCGACACAGACACCCGGGCGCTGGCAGCCAGACAGCCACAGAACAGGAGCAAGGAAGTGCTAGTAATTAGCAGGACCTCGTCTTTAGGTGTCCTTTCACTGGTGTGAGCTCAAACAAGAGGGAATTTTGGTGTGATGACGGGGAAGGGGAGAGGATGCCTGATCCCATTTCCCTCCAGGAGAACATACCTTTGTTTCTAATATATTTATAGAGATAAGATTGACCAAGTCCCCATTGTAGTCTGGAGTGTCCCCACACTAGATTCCTCCCTGGAAGCCGGGAGTTTCCAGGCAAAGCAAAGTGCCAAAAAAAGTCCAAACCTCCCAAGGGCCAAATCACAGAGTTGATCAGTTCAAAGTGGTTGTTCAAGTGACCATAAAAGAGGTTGCCAGGAATTGCGAAAGGAAACCAATTTACCGTGGGAGCACTTCTGGCTTGCGTTTTTACTCCTCCGCATGAAAATATTCGCCAAATTCACAGTCAAGAGAAGTAAATCCTTCTGGAAGGGGTGAGATGAGAACTCAGCCCTCTGTGCAGCAGTGCTTTGTGACGTGCAGTGCATACTCAACCCACAAAAACTGAACTGAATCCATAAAAAAAAAAAAGGTGATTGTTGCTTGTTGGCCACCCTCTGCAGATGTCCCTTGGGTTGTGTCACCGCCTCCTATATCTGCTGATCAAGTACCAGTTTCTGTTCCTCCTCCTACACATCAGCTCCCACTAATAAAAGCCGAAGAGGAG